GTGCAACGTCGGCCACACGAGCACCACGGGAGGACAGGACGCCGGGGTCTCTAGGACCCACTGAAATGTAAGCCGGCCGACTCCCTGCATTCAGGGGTGGAGGGGGTGTGGGGTTGTATTGAAGTCAATTGCACCGCAGCCATGCCCCCCGCCCACAGTGCGATCGCCCGCACCCGGAACGCAGGCACATTAGTGCCTGCATTCTGGTCCAGTGCGATCTGCAAAAATAGTGCTCGCAGTGCCTGGGTTCCCGGTGCAGGCGATCGCACTGTGAGCGAGGGGCCTGACTGCGGTGCCTGGCTGCGGTACAATTGACTTCAATGCACCACCACGCCCCCTCCCGCCGCTGAATTCAGGTGTTTTTTCATTGGTAGATCTCATTGAGCTCGTCATTTGAAAAGTAGATCTCCAGATGAAAAATTGTGGGTGCCCCTGGTGTAGATGTATAGCTTCTACATCCAACACATTTTGCTATCATTACAAATGGACGGATCTTCCAATCACATTCAAACATCAGAAGAGTTAGGTGGCTGAAATTAACAGATGTAAAGACAATGTTATCATTCTGAATCTTCTTCTACAATCAATCTTCTACATAAGGTGCCAGTTACAGGCCACTAGTGGAACTCATGAAAAATAAGTAAATGCCAAGAACTACAGAGCGTAGAATACAGAAGATAACATGGCATTCCTTCCCTAACGAAAGAAGATTCTATGTAATTAAACACATTTTAGATGGGCTTCCTATCCATTGTCAGATGACATGATGGCAGCTTGTTAACAGCTGTACAGGAGGAAATCAGTAAATTATCCTGAGAATTTCCATTGACAGGTATTCCTGCAGTGATGTGATGACAGTTTTGTTTTTGAATTTTTGCATAAAAATAAGTTGGAAGTATAAATAAACATATAACGAAGCTGGAGCATCACAATATATGAACAAAGAATGGCAGTAATACACAAATATAGTATCCAAGCTAAATATACATTACCCGTAAGCTATACATAAAGGGTAAGAACACTGAATAACTGATAGAAAAGATCAGGTGTATAGACAAACGTGTGGCAAGATGCAATGGTACACATTAAAATGGAAGATGCATCTAAAGGGTTAACTGGCATCCAGTGTGCACACGCATGATTTGCAAAACAATCTGTTTCATTCATATTGATTTTCTTTCATTTTGGCTCTATGTTTGTACATTCCGTTAGTTTTCTGTGACCTCTGACAGTTTTTCACGTTTTCTGCCTTAGGAAGATGAGCAGCAACTACGCAGAATATTATCCTGCAGAGCTCTTGATATATTGTGTTACCTTTTATTAAGGATACATTTAGAACCGATAACGCTCAGTGGTTCTTGCGTGTGCTGACAAACAATAGTTAGCAATGTTTCCAGCTGCCTTAATTGACTACAGGACCACATCTCTCTATGTTATGAATAGGAAAAGGCTAGGGTTCAGTGAACTTATCCTGTTTCTGTTGTCCTGACAAAGAAGGGTGAACAAATGTGGCCATTCCAGGACTGAAAGTGTGATACTGGCAGAATCCCAGGTAAAAATAAATGGGGAAAAAACCCAAAACTTAAAAATAAGAAAACCAAAAGGACTGGTAAGCTGCAATATTACATTTTTGTTTTTGGATTTAGATAGGCTTTAAGTGTTCATGTTTATTTCTCACTGTTTTAAAGCTTAATTTGCATGGAATAAAGGAAATGTCCACTCAGCAATTGATTAAGGTGAAGGCTAGGTGATGTGACCACATTCTGGTTCACTATTAAAATAATAGCAACAGGGAGGACAGCCTGTTAAAACATCAACTGGCGGGCTTCCCTGTAATACCTGGTGTATGTAGAAATACCAGCACTTACTTACAATACCTCAATCCATGCAACAAGAGTATAGAAAATAGATAGTACTAAATAATACAAATATATTGCTGAAAAACACAGCAGAGAAACTCATGCAACATCATTATTTTCTGGTTTAGCTTTGCAGAATGCTGCAGCACCTGTCTGTTTGTAGGACAGTGAATTGGCATCACACTGGTTACTCAATGTACAATGGGAAGGCAAGAAAAACAGCTTACACTACTGCTTACTGTGTGCATTACAAGGAGTATTGTGAACTCTGCTTGGAGTTCAGATGTTCGGGGGATTTCCAACGTCACTACCTACAACCAACAGTACTTATGAAGGTACAGTTTTATTAGTATCCAGTATACCAATTAAGCCGCCATATACAAGAAGCTCATAGTTAGCTACAACAGCTTCACCTAGAGACAAAGGGTACAATATATCAGTATTAGGATTAGTTCACACCATATGCAGTGCGTTCCCGTCCGATTCTGGGTGGAACGCACTGCATCGCATTGCGGCCGGCTCACTTTTTTGCCAGGCTGGAGGGGGCATGACGGGCCATTGAAGTGAAGATCACCATAACCACACCCTCCGGCCGCAATGCGATTGCCCGCACGGGATTGCAAGGCACAGTGTGTGCGGTGTGGTCGGGTGCGATCAAAATAATGTTATATTATATAAACAATAAAGACCGGAAGGCACTGCATATGGTGTGAACTAACCCTTAGGGCCCTTGTACTAGTAGTTCTAGTAGTTAATAAAAAAAAAACATGTGCAAAATAATCAGCAGATTCAGAGACAGAATAAATTATTATTTTATTCATGATGTTTTCTTTAAAAGTCTAATTTGGCCTACTTCAGAATCTCCTAAGTTGCCCCTAAAGGCAATCTCTACAGGGAGAAACAAAGACTGTCATTTCTGACCTCCTACTAAGATTACTAGTTACCTGGCGGTCTCTAGTACTTTCTGAGTCACTGACATGAAACATGCATGCAAATCAGGAAGTCATGGTTAGGTCAGCACTTCTTGTCTGCATTACTGTTCAAAGTTAGTTCCTCATAAAGAACCAAAAGACACTGGAACAGCATGGCAGTTAACAGGCATCCTTAGAAGCATAGTCATGCCAGCTTCCACATTTTCTTAATACAAGTTTCCTTAAATTGGATGGGTTGCCTACCTAACCAGTAGACAGTCTGGAGTGGATAGAGCCAAGCTTAACTGTTTACAAGAAAGGTCAAGATTCGTATAGAATTCTATCTACCTAATAGTATAACCAGTAATTTTGACATGTGGTTTTTACTGAAGGATACCTCTGTGATTTAATTTGTGACAAGCCTAAAGTAGTATTAAACTCAAACTTTTTTCAATAATGAATGCAGATCAAACAAATGTATATTTTTGCCCTAATACTTCCAATCATCCTGTTTCTGAACAGCTGCTTCCAAGTCTCTCAGCTCAGCTTCCCTTAACATCATCTCCAAAACTAGATCACATAGAACAGTGCAAACTCCAGCAACTGTTCATCTCCTAGCTTGGACAAAGGAGGAGGAAGCAGAGTAGCTTGATTTGCTGTTTGTGGGGAAAAACAACAACAAAAAAAGCCTTTTCCTTGTTGCACTCCTTACCGAAAGTCCCTTGTAATAGGTGGGGTGCTCGCAGTGACTGGATGGTGCTGCAAGCATCATTAAATATGTAGTAATGTCACCAGCACACCAAATCCTTTTAGGATAACAAAATCCTAATTTATTGAAGTTGTCATATAAACTAGAGACACACACAGCTTACTAGCACACACAAGGGTAACTGCATAGCAGTCTGTTTGAGAAAGGAGTCACCCTAAAACAGGATATCAGGACCACTGCTCAGGAAATCAGCTGATTCTGCAGTAACTAAAACATCAAGGAACAGCATCCATTGTAAGTGATCAGCATTTGAAAGCGCTTAACATCCTTTTGACTTTAAAAACACTTAAGCCAACACATGACTTGGACAGATTGGAGGCTGTATCTTCTTTGAAGTCTGCGCTGCTGTCTATTTGTATTTTAGGAAGATTTTGAATCACCCCCTGCCCTAAAATACATCACAGGAAGTGAAAGTAAATCTTCCCAAAGTAAGGGGAAACTCTGCCTCTGACAGCTGGGCAGGAGTTCCACTTGACACGGTGTATTAGTTAAAAACAAAAAAAAACACCTGTAGCTCATTTCTTCTTTTTTCCCCTACCAAACTTTGTAAACTCTAGAGACAGTGAAGCTTGAGAATCCAACATTCCTAACATGCCAGTGCGACCACTTCAATCAAAATTTCTTTCCAAGTCACATATATCATGTATTTACCCGAATCTAAAGATTATATATGATTTTGAAAAACAGGTGCACTGTAGTAAGTCTAGATCAGCAACATGCAATACTTTAATATCTGCAGTCTTCAATACAGTTAATACATTTTGGAAATAAATATTTGAAAGCATGTTAATATGTGTACATATTGTGATACAGCAAATCAATAACATGCATTGATCTCAGTTAAAAATGGAACACTGCCTGATTCTTACCAAAGTTGAGAGCTTCCGGGGCTGTCCATTTGATAGGGATCTGCTTCAAACCAGAAGATGAATATATTCCATCATCCTCCTGACGAGACATGCCAAAGTCACTGATTTTCAAAGTATTATTTTCACCTACTAGGCAATTCCGTGCCGCCAGGTCCCTAGGAAACACAAAAATGTGTTGGAAAGGAATTGAATTTACTTTCAGATTAACAGGAACGCATGAATAATTCCACTGCTTGTGATATTTTTCCTAGAGAAATATATGGTATTGTAAAGAGAAAAAAAAATATGAACTGCACTTTGCAAAAGCTAGTCTTCATTAATAAACATTTTATTCCTTTATGTTTTTTTTCCATTGATCATAATTTTAAATCAACATTTCTGCGAAGTATTAAGAGTAAACCCTTTCAGGATATAAAACATTTGAAAACTAGTAATAATGGTAAAGTGTAGACACCTTGAAATGTCTGATTAGTACCAAATCCATTATTGTGTAGCTGGAGAGAACCCTAGATCCTTGACCAAGGCTGTATAAGTGACCCACATTTTTGTAAACACTAAGCCTGACTCCCATTATTTAGGAATCCAAAGTAAGAATCCCAGTGGCCACTAGAGGATCTAGTACTGAACTGTTACATGGCATTGCAGGTCTTAACACGGTGTTTGACTCAAATGAAGGACCCATATACAGCTTGGGTCTAAATCTAGGGTTCTCACCAGGTACACATGTACTGAAGTGATAAACATTCACAGGTAACAACAAGGTATGCGCAAGCACCACAAGGTAATTTGAGATTGCATACATGCCATTTTCTAGCACTCAAAGTATTTAACGATGGTATGACTTTTCAGGTCTACCTGGTAGCTTTTTTTAAAGTTCATGTACAGTATAGCCAAAACGTTGTTTTGGAAAGAGCAGGAAAGAGTTAAAACCTCAAGTAGTTTATTTTACATTTGTTTTTGCTGCCTGTGTTCCAATGGGTAGATGTTCCTTTAATTCCTGTCCTAGACAGAGAGGAAATCTCTACATAAAGAAGGGAATTTCCCCATCAATGGAACAGGTTTAATGGAAGATTTACCATCACTCCTTGTTCTGGTGATAGCTCTAAAATTTTGAATTTCCCTTTACTTTTTGTTCTGGTGGCAAAGTTTGGACTACACATACACGTTAACTTCTAATTCCCAATCTTTGTGATTATGTAAACAAAAGTACAAAACAAGCACATATAGCAACCTGTTGGTTGTTTAAAAGGAAAAACAGAACAAAATATACACTTCAGAGACCATGTGGGCAGCACTATAAACATTCTTTGAGCAGCCGGAGGAGGTTTAATGAAATCTGTTATAGAACAATTTACCAAAATGGACTCAATAAATATTGCAGGCATCTAGGAGGTTCTCCAGAGCATATGGTATGCAAAAATGCAAAACACACAAATTGACTTGGCTCTGCGCAGCTAAAACTTTAGTATCTGTCAACAGCACAATTCTAGCAGTAGCACTCTTTAGTACTCTGTAGTGATTTTGCTAGACTGTAATGTCTTATACCACTTATTAGAATCAAAATCAATGGTGCAAATATGTACATGTCAGGATCCAGCATTGCAAAACAAGAACCTAAAGCACAAGCCTTTGAAAAGCAAAAGTCATGAAGAGAACTAAAACTAGAGGTGATCAATGACATGCATGTCTAACATATTAACAATTGCTCTAGAAGCTGAGCACTTTGATGTATGCATAAACAGGCAGCGGATAGGAACATGCATATTGATTAGCTGCACATTAATGGATCTTTCTTCAAGTACGGTATTGAAGTTAATATTGAAAATGACATGAAAAGTCATCTTAAATAAATAGCATGAAAGACTAGATTGAACATCTGAATTTTTTTGTGCATGGCTTTTGCAGTGCCAACTCTGTCCAGGAAGGTATATTGTTGCCTTCTGTAACGCAAGAGAGGACATATACACACGCAGGGAAAATAAGCATTTGTTTCCATGTGTTGTTTATTACTGGTTAGAATATAAATATGATGTTCCCCTTTTCTAGTTATCACTGCAAATCCTTTTCATCTATAAAAAATTTGCAGAGGTAGAACCACGTTAATCGTGACTGTTTAATACGATATTGGAAGAGCTCAGCATCTTTGAAATAATCCTTCTGTATATGAAAATGTGTCTACACTACAAATGATAATGTAGATCAGAAGCCAGATTCTTTAAATTCACAATAGGCAAAGCCACAGAACCCACCATGTAATAATATATTTTTCTTTACAGTGCTATCTACATAAAATAATAAGGTGAAATATCCTACGAAAAGATATCTTGGTTTTAAACTGACTCTATACATTCAGGTTTACTATAAAAAAGAGGCAACAGTTTTTCAACTATCATCCAGAGATAGGTGCATATATTTGCATCATTCTTGTAAATAATGAGCAAGATGCATTTTCCAGGGAAAGAAGTTTTCCTTGGCCAATAAATCATTTATTATGTCCACAATAAAAAGTATTCTTAATGTCCGGTGTTAGTATTCTTTCTCAGTGGTGGATCTTAATTCTAAGCCTGCCCATATTGAGTTCTAAAGCTTCTCAAATTCAAATCTACATTTGAATCTGTGACTTTGTTCCAGAAACCAACACAGATACCACAACCAGAAAGATTTTTTTCAGATCAACCTTGTAAGCAACATAATTAATGTGAATGGATGCATTAACTGTGAAGAACATGTACTGCTTTATATGTCAGCTAATGTATTTCTCAGAATATTTCTTAGTTCTCTGTCAAAAAATGTTTAGATACAATGGTGAGAGTTAAATTTCCTGGCATTTTTAAACCTCTCTCTATTGGTGGGATTTTCCCTCACATCCTGACTCTGACACTAGGTCAAGAAATTTGGGGAATGGTCGTCATCAAGACAGGAAAGCACTGAACGCAATCACAAAAAAATAAAAACCCCAAAGGAAATGAGGGGAGATTTAAGCAGGTACATAAAGTAATACAATCTGGACAGAGGCTCTAATTCTGACATGCTCTCTAGAAATAACATGCTTTGCCTGGAGAATGTTGTAGTTTCACAGGAAAGATAACTGAAGCAAAAGCTTCTGGCACTGTACTTTGGCAAATATGTTTTTGGGGGCATTCTGTATAGATCACCTTCAGGTCGCAATTAAGTTTTTTCAGTTTTAGCAAATTACATTGGCTCCAGATTAAAATGGAATGTGATTTTTTAAATAACATTAAATTACAAAATGGCTTGCGCAAAAATGACATGTTCTATATCAGGGGTGCCCATTAGGTCGATCGTGATCTACCAGTCGATCACAAAGCGAACAGTGGTAGATCGTGATCGGATCACTGACCTGTGTCCTGTCCTCGCACGGTGCTCGTGTGGCTGAACCCGTCAGACGGGAAGGGGCGGGACACCTCTCCCAGTCTGCACATTCAGCCACACGAGCACCGCGGGAGGACAGAACACAGCACCTCAGAGGAGACCCAGAAAGCTGCTGGAGTACAGGTAGGAAAAGACAGTCAGAAGAGAGCAGAGAGAGAGAAGAGAGACAGCAGAGAAAAGAGAGACAGCAGAGAGCTAGGTGAGAGACAGCAGAGAGCTAGGAGAGAGAGAGAAGGCCGGTTCACACCACAAAGTCTGCGTTCCAGAGCGTTCGGACTCTGGAACGCAAGCCGCCCAGTGTTCTATCAAAGTTAGTGGCTATGTTAGAATGTGTTACCGGTCACACATTTTAACGTAATCCTGCCCAGTTTTTCGCTGGTGGAATGTGTGACCGCCAATAGGACAAGCATTCCAAATCTTTGTCAGCTGTTCCAGGGCAGATCGGCATCGCAGATCGCATGTGCAGGAGAACCGATCTGCCCTGGAACAGCTGATCGGTCCTCAAATGTCACTTCTATCCGGCTTTGTGAATGCGATCTCACATTCCACAAAGTCCTATAGAAGTGACATTTCAGGACCGATCAGCGCTGGAATTCTTGACCTATTGGCGGTCACACATTCCACCACCGAAAAACTTGGCAGGCTTATGTTAAAATGTATGACCATGTAACCGGTCACACATTCCAACCTAGTCACAAACTTTGAAAGAACACCAGCTCCCTGCGTTCAGGGGCGTGGCGGTGCATTGAAGTCAATGGCACTGCAGCCACGCCGACACCACCACCCCCCCCCCCCTGTTCCGGTCCAGTGTGATCTGCAAAAATAGTCCTTGTGTGGCGGTGTGGCCGATCACATGGCGGGCAAATGCAGGGAGCCGGCCAGCGTAAGTTCCAGAGGCCGAACGCTCTGGAACTCCGACTTTGTGGTGTGAACCGGCCCAGAGTGAGAAAGGAGAAAGAGACAGTAGTCCTAGTAAGGACTTTAATGTGTTTGTTTTCTAATTAATGGTGTTTTTTCGCTGGTAGATCTCATTGAGCTCGTCATTTGAAAAGTAGATCTCCAGAAGTAAAAATGTGGGCACCCCTGTTCTATATTCTTTTTTTGATAAAAGCAGAGTTTTCCTTTAAGCACTGTGCATTTACTTTGTCTTAACTAGACCCTGTCGCCAACTGAAAACTGCAGGTAAAAGCGCAGAAAGATCAAGTATTTTAAATGCATATTTGCAGTATTTCACTTTTCCATAAATGTTTTTATATTCACTTGCAATATGTCCTTAAAGGGTATTTCTACTTTTGCAGTCAACATGGAGAAACCCCCTCTATATATTTGTTGTGTGTTCCTATTCACTCACCATACAAAAAAAAATAAAAATCTTTTAGATGCGTCTGGTCTGTGTAGCAGGCCTTTGCAAGCTTCTCTCTCAATTTTTAGTAACAAACTCTTGACTATCCCCATAGAAATACTAGAGAATCACTGAGCCCCCCGCCCCCCCTCGTTAACTTACAATGCTTCTAGATCTTTAACCCTTTGTTAAGGCAGACATTGTTCAAATCTAGCTTATAACTCATACTGAGAACTGCCAGCACAGTACAGACAGAGTTAATTATGTTAACATCTTCCCACCACCCTTGCATTTCAGAAGGACATTCAGAAAAGAGAACATTTCTCTAGAATTGAGCTTGTTTTGTGCAAGCAGCACTTTATTTGTTTTTACTTATGTTACCTGAATGAGAAGCATGTAGTAGATGTTTTCCCAATTTGG